GGAATTTGATTAGAAAACTATGTAGAATCTGAATATGATGTTATTTTATCTGTTAATAATTTAAAATATACTATCTAGGCTGCAATGTTAATCGCCACACCAACGCTTCCTCGTCTCTGGCCATCAGCCTGTCGCGTCGTTTACCATCCCCGGCGGCGGTACGATCCTCTTTCCTCCCCCTACCTTTTCTCGGTAGGTGCGGTGCCAACAAAACGAACGAGTAGCCTATCGGCGCGCCACCATCGGCCTGTTAGACGACGCGCACCACAACATTTGTTGAGCCGCTCCTCCCCGTAGGCAGTGAGTTCTGGCCAGATCAAGACGAGCCGCAGTGCCGCATCGTCCTCCACCGCCTGAACTGGCGTCGGCCTGTTGGACTATGCGCACCACAAGATCGTTTGTTTTTGTCGTTTTTTTTACTCGCCCGTAACAACACCTCATTCCGAACATGACTTGAATAAATGCATGATCACTTGACCGTTTTTTGTAATCTACATGCAAGCCGTGTTGAAATAGAACACTTGTACAATCTTAATCTATCCTTTTATAGGTTAAGACCATCTTTGTTTGGGCCATAGCTACAAATTCTTAGATTATAGACCATTTTTCTAAATTAAAAGCATGTGGTATTTTTTTTCTCTCGTTAAAGCACGGGTGTTTTTGCTAGTTGATCTAAAAAAATGTTCATATGTCCTTCAAGAGCAACTTTGTCCCTATGTACAGGTTAAAAGAAAGTGGGCCAGAAAAGGAGGCCCAGCTTACCCGCACAAAGACCCAACTATGAAAAGATAGCAATTTGCACACAGACTAGAAATCGAAAACAGGAAAATTGCAATCCTTTTTGAAATAAAAAAAATCATGTAGATATGTATTGGAAAAATCATATATATTCCATGGCAACTAAAACAGCCATGTAATTTGCCATGTCTTGGAAATAGCCACAAACTAGCATATATTTTTTTGAAAATTCAAGTGTGCTATACCTAACGCACACAAAAATGACATGGTTGTACAAAAGTTAAATTGCAACAAGTTCAATTTACAATGGATGTTGAAAAACACTTCATGCCAATTGAGTGTGAACAATTTGCCACGACCCGGGACTTCAAGACTAGTGACTTTTAACATTTGAAACATGACAAAAAAAAATGGCACTAGTGATGGTATCCGGGCCAAGGTACCACGGTGGGTTATTTGCCGTGACAACAAAAATGTAGGTAAGTGAACACAAGCACGTACTCCCTCCTTCCATCTATGTAGGACCTAATGCATTTTTTAAGACCGCCTTTGATTATTGATAAGATTAAAAATGCATGATATGCATAATGTGAAAATTATATCATTGAAAGCTTCTTTCGCATACGAATTTGAAGGTACTATATATTATATCATTGAAAGCTTCTTTCGCATACGAATTTGAAGGTACTATATATTTCGCATACGTAGTATGCTTTGTGTAAGTTGCATGTCATATATTATTGCTCTAACATTTGGTCAAAGTTAGTCTGGAAAAACGCACTAGACCCTATATAGATGAAAGGAGGGAGTAGCAAAAATAGATTTTCCTAGACGAAAAAACCACCTAGCAAATTTGCAAACGATTTTCAATTTGCCAAGACTTATGAAAAAACAAAATCACCGTAAATTTTGCCATTTGATATAAAGAAAGATTACCAATAAGTTGAGTGTCGCGTTCGCTGGCGCGTCGGTTGCAACGAACGCTCAACAAAACATGATGCGGCACTGTTTCTTGCATCATGATCAGTGCAGCTCATCCGACGGTCCAGGAAGCATTTTCGTTGGGCATCCTAAAAACCGACGTCAGATTTTTGGCGATTTAGTAATCTTTAGGAGGCCTTGTTGACGTTACCAAGCAGAGTATGGCGAGGTAAAGCATGCACCGAAGAAGAAGACCACTAGACATCGGTAAGCATGATAATCTCGTCCCTTTGTGAAGTGCAATCAACGCAACGTCCAAAAATTTAACCCGCAACGATGTCACGTGTGGGTGCGTGCGTTGCGCGGTGTTTTTCATGGGCGTACGCTAGCGTCCGTCACTCTCGCTAGCGGTGCGCGCAGCCTTCCACAACCCGCAACCACCAGCATTCGACGTTTTCGCCGCTCATTGGGCCATCCGCGGTGAAAGTCCATTCCATCGCGTACTACTACTACTTCCTCGCTGACAGACTAGATTAGTTTTACAAAGTAAACCAGACTGGATTACTTTCCTCGGGAAGAAAGAAAGAGGACATACAGAGCAGAGAGAAAAGTCTAGACCACTAGTGACAAGAAAGGTACCAAACCGCAGTACCACACGCACATGTGCACTGCTAGGACCCAAGCCAGCATTTTGCTGGGCACGTTCGTTGATCTCCTCCTTACTCTTCTCCTTTGTCCTCTCCTGCCGCTATCCTACCCCCCACGGCCTACAGGCAGCATCTTGCTCGTCCCAGAAAGCTTCCAAAGTCGCAACTTCCAAGGCGAGGGAGGGAGCCCTACGCTTCGTGACCCGTTGCATCACACTTAGGGCTCAGGTGTGCACTATGCTCGCTCTTGGACGTTGCTCGTGTCCCGACTCCCGACTCCCGATCGATCGTCGTGAGCAGCGCGTATCCACTGTTTCCCTCTGTGATCCCATCTCATCACTCGTGTCGCCCGCATGTATAGTACAGCACCATGTTGGATGGATCAGGTGTGTGTGTCACGATCACCCCCTTGGACGCATGTAGCTGAGCAGGTGATCGTGTCTCGGAAACCCAAAGATATGGGTCCATATTGACTTCACCCCGCTAGATTATTATGCCATTTCCAAAATGTGATCACACAAGTATCTTGCCAGATCCGAAAACAGGTCGACCATGCAGGTGAACGTGTCACGATCGATTGGCTTTGCCATGCGTGCCTGCTGCTACTTCTCGGCCCGTCGTGTGGGGGCAAAAATATAGTACTCCCTTCGTAAACTAATATAAGAGCGTTTAGAATACTAAACTAGTGATCTAAACGCTTTTATATTAGTTTACAGAGGGAGTATCTTTTTATCTCAAACCATGCTTTGCACCAGAACACCTGTGAATTTGCGAGGCAAAGGTGATGCTAACTCGGCAGCAGTACCACTCTCAGTGCGGGCGCTTATTAGGTGAGCGACACACATCCCACGCTAACTAGTTATAGTTGGGCTACAGGTGATTATCAGGCGCAACGTCTTTGTTGCACGAGCTGACAATCTTGTGTGTGATTATATGGCACGGGTTCTCCGCTGCAAAGAGCTACTCCACCCGTGCACAGCCTGATCTCCGACGATCTTGTGTGTGATTCACATTTTTTGACTCGCAAATCCAACCTCCCTCGCGGCCTCCTGTCCCCTTAATAACGAGCTCTGTACTTGATTGGTAATGGGGTCAGGGCGATTGCGCGCCTTCCCTGCCAACACTGATTTCACACCCTATCTGCCGTGCTTAAGCGCTTTCCCTTCCAAAAATCCAACGCTTGCCTCCATTAGCTGCTGTCCTGCGATCCTGTCCTGCTGCCGTATTTGGATTCTCTATACTAACTTGGTACTGCCGCCTCCTCTTTATCCTGCCGGTTTGCCTAGCTTCAAATGTGTGGCGGTACACGTCAATGCAACCCCAGTACTATTCCTAGCAGCTAGCAAGAGCATTTCAAGAGTAAATAAAATGGATCAAAAGGCTAGTAGTACCACTACCTTGCAGATATCGGTTTTCGCCCGTTTTTCCGTTAATTAACCGGACAATTCTCTTCTTCTTAATTAATCGACGAGGCAAATATTTTGCCTCCGTTTCGAAAAACTACCTTGCAGATAAACATTGGTACAGTAGGAAACATTCTTCAGAACCGCATACTCTAATCTGAATCTGGCTGCTTCAAAAGGCGAGGAGTACGAACTGCTCGCTGCAAAAGCGAGTAAAGTTGGCGTGGCTGGACCCTGAAGCATGTGCAGCTTAATGTTACACAGACAGACGGTGTAAACTAAGTCCAAGCCTGATTGCTTCAAAACTCTTTTTTTTTTTTGCCTCAAAAGCGCCGTGAGCATCGCCCTGTCTGTGTCTGAAATCACTCGCTCGCTCGTCCGTCCGTCCGGAATTCGTCACGTCAAAACCCCCACCAACGCGCTGGCGCTGGTACGAGCTCTATTGCTCACCAGATGCGTGTCCGTGATGCGCGGTGCTGTTTCTCCGTCGGCAGTTTCTCCCAAGCGGCCAAACAGTCACGGAGGAAGCCATCTCCGTGCCACCGTACCACAAGCAAGGAGCAGCAAGCAGCGAGTGATCACCGACGGTCAGATCGCCGGACGAGCGGTGGCTCATCAGTCCCACACGGGACACGCTCGCAGGCCTCCTTTTCGTGCAAGTTGCCACACGGTGTGGGGGCAGTGGCACGGCCGCGGCTCCACCCTCGCCAAGCTGGTCCTTTCGCCCTCGGCTCGGCGCCATGGCGCTTCGAACACAGTACACCGCAGATGTTCACGTACACACATACACATTCATCCCTACGAGCATCCTGCCACAGGAATCCAAACCCAGTGCTACCAGTAACGTTCCAATCCATCCGCATTAACGCCGGGCCGAGGGTGCGCCACCAACCAGTCGAGGTCGGGGCCTGCGCTGCGCGCGTCGCGTGGCACCGGCGCTCGGGCCGGCTGCGTCCCGTTGCTTGCTCCAGCGATTCTGATTTCTCCCGTTCGAATTTGAATCGCCACTGCACCGCACCGGCCCGGTCGCCTTTACGGAACCCGGCGCCCCTCTCCTCCATTTATTAATCCCGTTTTCCACGAGAGGGCAGAGCAGAGAGAGTGGAGTGGTGGACTGACTCGTGGAGACTCCTTTTCTTCCCCGCGCCGCTGTGCCGCCTGCTCCTCGCCCGCCCGCCTTTCCACCACCCCCGTCCCTCTCCCTCGTGCTCCTCTCCTCTTCTCCTAGGACGACGCGCTGCAGACGGCGAGGCTAGCAGCCAGAGGCCGGGCGGGGCAACGGGCGCCGGCCATGCCGAGATCCAGGTGCGTGCGGTGCCCACTTCCTTCCCTCCAATGTCCGGTGTCGGTTTCGCTCCTTGCTCAGCCATGCACGCCGTTGGTGCGCATTTAATCTCCCAGGGGGTCCGAGCTGCCGCAGCGGGCGTCGCCGCGCGCGCCGCTGCACCTCAAGACCACCGCCTCCTCCGAGGCCAATGGCGCGCACCACCGCCTCCTCGTCGACCGCAGCAGCCCCAAGGTCGCCGACCGCCACTCGCCCCGCAGCCCGCTGCCCGAGGTACGCTGCTGTTTCTCAGTTGTTTACGCTCTGCTCTGCCTATGCTCGCCATTTGATCTGGCGACGGCGGCGCCATTTGCAGAAGAAGCGCGCGGGCACTCGGGTGGCGGAGCTGGAGACCAAGCTGGGGAAGGTGCAGGACGAGCTCAAGAAGCTGCGGGAGCAGCTCGTCTCCGCGGAGGCCGCCAAGAAGGACGCGCAGGTCGCGCTCGAGGAGGCCAAGAAGCACGTCGGCGCCAAGGGGAGCCCCAAGCCGCCGGCGTCTCCTCCCTCCCCCGCCCCTCTACCGGTCCAAGACGAGAAGAAAACCGAGGAGGTGAAGATCGTTGAAGAACCGGCGGCCGAGGAAGCGGAGGAGGAGGAGGGCAGCATAAACTCCCCGGCGACCGATGTGTTCGAGGTCGTCCCGACCGAGTCGGGCGACAAGGAGAACCAGAGCGCGCTCGTCGCCGAGGACAGCGAGGAGGTGAGCTGTGGAGACAAGGCGGCACTGGCCGATGCCGAGGAGGATGTGGAAGTGGAGGAGACCAAGACCATGATTGAGGAGGACAAGAAGGACTCCGCGGCCGCCATTGAAGGCGGCGAAAAGGAGAACCCGGAGGTCGTGGAGCTCAAGGCCCAGCTGATTGCCAAGGAGATGGAAGTCGCCGTGCTCACGGCCGACAATGCGGAGCTCAAGAAGCAGGCCGACGAGGCCGCGGCGGCGGTCAAGAGGGCTGACGAGGAGGCTGTGGCCAAGGCTTTCCTCATCGAGCAGGAGCTCAAGGAGAACGCGGCGCGGGAGGCCCGGATGGGCGAGCAGCTGAGGGCGTCCGAGGCCGCGCGCGAGGCGCTGGACGCCGAGATGCGGCGCCTGCGCGTGCAGACCGAGCAGTGGCGCAAGGCGGCCGAGGCGGCCGCCGCGGTGATCGGCGGGGACGCGCACCTCGTCGGTCACCATGGCCTCGCCGGCAATGGAAGCAACGGGTGGGGGTCCCCGGCGACGATGCCGGACGACGGCGACGACGAGGGGTTCGGCAGCAAGCGGAAGGGCGCCGGCATCCGGATGCTCGGTGACCTGTGGAAGAAGAAGGGCAGCAAGTGAAGTGAAGGCGACAAGCAGAGTGGCATATCTGTGTAATGCCCAACGCTCGTCTCTCTCGGGTCACAGATCCACAGTTCGCTCGCGACGGCGAGCTAGCTCAGCTCAGCTCGCGCTCTAGCTCCATGCATGCTTGGATCGATGCGCTGGTGTTTACTGCATTTTGGTTCGCATTTCGCTTATGTTTGTACGATGATGAGATGATGTTCGTGAGATTAAACTCTGTTTGGTGCTCCCGTCGTGAGCTGTATGATGATGATCGATGGCTTGATGCTGTATTGCTGTTGGCTGCTGTTGCCCATTGTAAGATGCAGTTCGGCGTTATCTTGGATTCTGTTGAAGCTATAACCAGATTGTATGCTTCACGATTTTTTGATGATTATAGGGTCTGCCTACTTCATGATTGTTGATGATTGTAGCGTCTGCTTACTTAACGACTGCTGATGACGGTTTTGGATTTTGGATCCAGTTATTGATGATCGTTTTGGAGTTTTGGATTGAGTTGATGATGAGAGGATTTTTGGGAGATGCGGCCAAAGATTTGAGCAGCACGCCCAGTCAGTCCCAGGTAATAATTTTTGAAATGGCCCGGCGTCAAAGGTCTCCCCTCCTGGACCACAGGCTGAGGCTGAAACCAAAAATAACCCTTTGCACTTTGCAGCGCCACACTGCAAAAGGTGCGAGGCGCTGGGCCACGCACGAAATCTGCGAAAGGCGTACGCGTGGGCCGTATGGTACGTGAATGATCGAGCTGCTCAGAGCAAGCGTCGTCGATTAGGACTCGCTACACCACCATTATCCTAGCATTGTCTCAAAAAAAAAACCATTATCCTAGCAAATCCAAAAAAAATACACGAAATCGATAGGCTAGGGTCGCTCAGACGCTCGCTTGGCTGGCAAGCAAATCAATCAGCAATTATCGAATAATAAAGATCTATGATCCGGTGAAGAAAAGCTGGGAGAAGATTAGGAGTCAAGGATGGTGGGCCGGGCTGGGCTGCCTTTGGGTTTGGGACGATAAGCTTCAGCGGTGCAGTGCGCACACGGCGGATCGATTTCAAAACTGTGGAAGCCCGCTGCTGCGATGCGGCAGCGGCAGAGGCAGAGGCAGACACTGCGTGCTCACAGTCATAGGAACGGGCAGCGCCAAAGGCTGATGAAAGGCAGGCAGCTGGTGCAATGCGATGGCATGGCACAGGGGCGCGAGAGGCGGAGGAGGGAGGCACGCGGTCGCAGCGAGCGCTCGGCTCGGCTTTGCCCGTCGCGCGCACGCAGACGCAGGCGCAGGACATGAGTGGCATGTCCGCTAGCTGTTGGAGCTGTGCTGCCGCCTGGCCCATGGGCTCCGCCGCGCAGGCTGTTCCAGACAGTCCACACACGCACACACATACGTGTCTGTCTGTCCGGCGTGGCCCGACCCTCCGTCGTCGCCCGCTGCCATTGATGAGGACAGCCCGGTGGCAGGTAGCCAGCCAGCCAGCCGGCCGGCCGGTCGCATGCATGCACGGCGCCGGGAGTTCAGACCTGGCCCCTGGCCCAACTCCTCGGCTTGCATCGCATGCATGCATGGTCCGGTCCAGCGGCTCGGCCGACCGGCTTTATTGTCATGCGTGTTGGTGCCGGTGGCCGCTGGCCCGGTCGCCGGAGTGGTTGCGCCGGTTTATTGGCGTCCACCGCGCCTGTCTCTCTCTGTACGACGCGAGGAAATGTGCACTTGCTCCATGTGATGTGCCCAAAACGAGCTAGGACGAGAGATACATGCATGCACGGTACCACTTGAAACTTGAAAGCTCGGCTCTTTGCTGTAACCATGCACGTGCTGGTTGGTGGCCGTGTGCCGCGCCGTTTCTCGGCATCTGACCGTGGAAACATGCATGACAAGCATTCTGCAATAGCATGGCTCGTCCAGATAAAGGCGGAGAAAATCTATCGCAGTGTACGTACATCGTCGCTAGGTTTTACTTGGGGGTGGACGGTTTCAGAAGTTTTGCGATGCTGGGGATCGGGAGACATGCCAAGGTGTTGGTTGGTTCCTGGTAGAGGGGCCTTGTGGTAATGCGCGCGCTGTAAACGTATGTAGCACGCACAGTGTCGACGATCGCGACTGCACCGGCCATGGCCCATGGGCCATGGGGATGGGGGGGCACACATTTTCTGGTTCGTGGAGCAGTGTGGCTCCGTATTAATGTTGTGGCCTTTGCTCTGCGTGGTGTAGGCCACAGCCAACACGCGCAGCTAGTCTCGGTACAGACCACGCAAGGTTCCCACGTTCAAGTGTGGATCGCGGGTGTGGATCGGAGGGCACCTTTCTCTTCTCTCTGCATTTCTCAAATGACAGGTGATTGATTGCCAACTGAGCCTAGTTAGCTTCTTTGTGATGGACCAGGGGCGGTTGTGGTGACTTCTTTAATTTTACAATAATATTCCGGCTTAGTTTTTTGAGATGCTCACAGGGATAGGGCATGTGCGTCTGGGTTCATAGGGAATAATTGCATGTGTGTATATAGTGGCGGAGCCGTGATGAGCAACTAAAGGGGGCCGGGGGAGGGGGGGGGGGATTTTTTGAAACTAAAAGAGAAATATGCAGGAGAAGTCGGAACATAGGCGTGTCTCGCAACATAAAAATTGTTACCTGAAACGATAATTCGATATTCATTGTTGCTTCTTAGGCTCAAGTTTCTTTAATTGATATAACGGTTGACTGATTTAACATTCAATGGTCCGAATCATGTTTCTTTAGTTTATGCAACAGGTTAACCCTCATGGGTAGCAAACAGAACATGTGAGTCAAGTTTCCATGGCAATCATGATTCACATGTACTTTGCACCTTCAGTTGTTTGGCAGGAGTTCACTTTCATAGATTGTCATCGCCGTGGGCTTCGGCCGTGGCACGCAGCACATCAGCAACACAGGAAGGGAGCAATTGTTCCATGCATATGTAGGAGCAACATCAGACAACGACGCAACGGTTGGTTAGCAATTGATGCCTCGATGCAGCAGTCTAAAAAGGGGAGATCACTATGGCGGAGAAACATGATAAAGGAATTGGGACGAGGCGTAGAAATCAAATCTCCATGGAGGGAAGTGGTCCGAGACACCATTTCTTTCTGTCGGCGTTATGGGAACGGGGTCTCCAGACTTGCCTGCCTATGGCCTGCGGCGTGGCTCGAGTGGGGGCCCAGTGCGGCCCAGCTTCATCAGCTCAAACTCAAGACCCTCGCAAGGGGCCAAGCCTTGCGGGACGGCGACAGGAGGCTTTCTCAGGAGCAGCCTCATCACGCAGGCTCGCGAGGAGGCGGAGAGATCAAGACAGGGGTGCCTCGCGAGGAGCCCGTGACGCAAGCCATGACGATCGAGATTAGGCGGGTGCCGGCCTGCGCAGTGTCCTTGTTTCCCCTTCGGTGCAAAGAGAGCAAGCACATGCCAAGGCATCGGGCAAAGGTTACCATTCCGGTGCAACGAGACCAAGACCAGCAGAGCGGCAGGACGGAGGTCACCGTGGAGCCCAAGACGGCGTCATCACCAGTGCTTTCGGCAGCCGAAGACCACCTTTGGTCAGGATAACTTGTACTAAATGTTCCCTTTCAAAATGACCAATTGTTGATGCCCTTCCCACTTATTTTTTAGGAAAAGGACCAGGGTCTCTATAAATAGGACTAACCATCATAGAGAGAGGGAGGAAGAAGAAAAGGGGGGAAAAGAGAAGAGGGGGAAAAAGAAAGAGAGAAGAGAAAAAGAGAGAGATCCGGACCAAGTAGCACACATTGCATCAGCTCAAGAACACCTCTCGCGAGGCCGTTCTGCCCCTTGTATTGTTCATCATCAGCCTCTGAGGCAATCCACCACGCCACACACTGGAGTAGAATATTACACCACATCGATGGTCCGAACCAGTATAAACCTCGTGTCCTTTGTGTGTTCTTTTTTCCAGCCTAGATTTCTTGCGAGCCGTAGAAACGCGAGTCGGTAGGGGAAAGATCTCCGTGCGCACCCCAGAGTTCGAACCTTAAGGGTCTGCCGGAACCCAAAATCCGACATTTGGCGCGCCAGGTAGGGGTGCGCCGGAATCTTTCTTCCGCTGTTCGCGTGTAATCTTTCGTGGTGTCTATGGCTGACGCTCGTCGGGCTCGCGCCGAGCACCGGGCTGCTCTCGCCACCCGCGTCGCCCAAACGGCGCCCGTCGGCGGACGCCCTCGTCGTTCCCCGTCGCCTACCGCCAACGCCGCCACCGGCCCGACGGGGAACGAGCAGCAGGCCTCGTCCCAGCATTCTTCGGTGCGGCGGGAGGGCCGCACCACAGCCCCATCACTGACTCCAGCCGGTTCGTCGTCCCACGCCCGTCGCGCCCCCACGGACGTGCACGCCGCGCTACTCCTGGCAAGAGAGCTCCTGCACTACCGCCCCGTCGACGACCTTTACGAGGACTGGCTCGCCCGCATCATCGAGCTCGTCAGCGCCGCAGGGGGCTCTCCTTTGCCGTCCCTCTCGCTGCCTCGCCCTCCATTCCGCGCAGGGGCAAGGATCAGGAGGCGCCTTCGCCACCTCCTCCCCAAGAAGGCGCCCTGGCTCCAAGGCGCGCAGCCCCAGGGCGAGAGCCTGCACGTCCGGCGCCTGCGCGGCAAGAAGGGAGCTGCCAAGAGATCCCTCGTCCCCAAGAAGGTGCTCGCGCGCTCCCAGCACCGGCGCGCCAAGATCACGTCCCTGCGCCTCCACGCTGAGACCCTGCGCTGCTCCAAGCGGCGGCGCGTGGTAATCACCAGGAGCAGGCCCAGCACCAGCAAAGGGCGCCGGCGGCCACAGCAGGCCGCCATGCCTTCACCCCCGAGCTACGCGGCGTCACATGGCCAGGCAAGTTCAAGCCTGATCTGCTCCCTCGCTATGATGGCACGGCAGACCCCGTGGAATTCCTGCAACTCTACGAGCTGGGCATCGAAGCCGCCAACGGAGACGAAAAGGTCATGGCGAACTGGTTTCCCATGTCGCTCAAGGACGATTCTCGCAC